TAGATAGATAGATAGATAGATAGATAGATAGATAGATAGATAGATAGATAGATAGATAGATAGATAGATAGATAGATAGATAGAGCAGAAAATGACAACTTCTTTGTTTGATGGTTCCAGAGTTTGAACTAAAAACTGCTGTGTTGTGTGAGTTGGCATGATTTGCTTTCTGCCAGGTTGTGCCCTTAACCAACCTTTGTCTCTACAAACAGCACCAGATTGACACTTTTTATTAAGTTTTAGGAATTCAAACCAAATCTTTTTGACTGCTAGTCACTGCATTTTTAATTTTAAAAAATGATTGTACACAAGGTTGTTAAGTAATACACTTCTTTTCCAGAAATTCAGAAAAGTTTTTCACCTTGTTGTGAGTCATAATTGATGTGCTTCAAGGTCCTATTATTTCAGTTTGGCAGGATTACAAAGAATTGTGAAAATGTGGATTTATCACATGAATGTGTTAAAATACTTTTAAACCACAGATGAAACATTTGCATGCTAATTTAACACATTTTCACAAGTAAAACATGATTTYCACATGCAGAAATCAGATCTGTGCTATTTTCTTACATCAACCTCATATCCCATCTTCTGGGAATACTAATTTTTAGAAGTCATGGCAGGACACACAACAAATCTGTGGACTGAAAAGGAAATTKCTCCTCCTCCTAATTTATTATTTTTAGCTATTTTTCTTGCTGGAAAACAGATAACAAAAACAAGTGAAATTTACATGTAAATCAGTGTCTGACAATAGATGTCACAAAAAGTATCAACTTTTCCATTCTTTTCCACCCCTCTAACCTCATCCTATTTCTCCAAGCTTTTCTACTCCTCTCATCTCCTCCCAGCTTCCTCCTCACTCATTTGCTGCTTATTAGAAAGTCTCTCTGTCAACCTTGTCCCATCTAATTCTCAGCCAATTACAATCTAAATGAACCACAGGACTGCTTAACTTGCTTTGCCTCTTGCCATTGTTTAATTTGTGACGGTAACAAACTCTGATTAGGCCTCTGCAAAGGTTCATAAATTAACCACTCAAGACCAAATTAATCTCCATTCCCTGGGAAGATAAATGAGCAATATTCAATTTTTCTATATGGATCCCACTGACAAGAAGAACACAGAGAGGGAATAATATTCACTGATAATGACTGCATAATTGGCAAGCAGTGACATTTTGACCAGCAGTGGCCAAACATGCCAGTCAGCCTTTTCAGGCACTGTTTGCATGACTGCAACTTTTAGAAGCAGTGCCTGACTTTTAATGAAGTAAAGCTGAGACACTCTGACCAACGTCATCATGTGAAAGTGAGGCAAAGAGAGAACCACTATGACATTGCAGACAATTGGATATGAATGCTTTCATATAAACAAAGATGCCTTGATGTTAATGAAATATATGAAGTTTTTTTTAAAAATAAGGAGGAACTGACAAAAAGTATATGAAATTATAAAGGAGCCACTAATGACAATAAAAGTCCTTTACAGTTTCCCTGATAATCATCACAGGAAAAAGACAAAAGAGCAAAAAAATATATAT